GGGCCACCCCCCAGGCTCTTGCTTGGCTGGCGTGGCTGGCATGGCTGGTTTCTGTGCACTAGAAGACGTGAGCGTCAGCCCCCTCTTCCCGCCTGGACACGGTGTTGAAGGCTGAATTTCCTTCTCATTTCAGGAAAATAACATGGATGACGTTTTAGAATGAAGGCAGTATGTCATAACGAGAAAAACATTTTTCTTTATTTGTCTTGGTGGATAAATACTCTATTCAAGATCTGCTTTAAGGCAGCAGGCATTTCACTAATTTTGCAGGTCCCTTCATTCTTATAAAAAAGCTTGCACAGTGACCTAAAGTAGCCAGTTAGTGAGTGACATGACTGCGTAACCTCACTCTTCCAGAGTTAACGTGTAACTCTAAAAAGTCTCCCACCAGCTTCTCCATGTAATTCACCATTCTTTTGCTGATGATTACAACATGAGTCATTGAGGCCACTTCTTTCATAAATGTTTACATGACATCTGGTCACTTATACAAGACATATCCTGTCAGACAGAAGGCTTTTAACAGTTTACCAACAGGCTGAGGAGGAAGAGGTGGAGCTCACAGTCACGGGTTGTTGGATACTCTTCCTATGAAAGACTCTTCTTACTTTAATGTATAACCTGTGTACAGACTGATTTGCCCTGAAGTGTGCTGTGAGTCCCCTGTGTCAGTGCTGGTTGCCAGGGATCTGAGCCCTGAGCCCCCGTCCAGGGTGATTAGCTATGAAAACACCTAAATCAAGGCTCTGTGGTGTCCTCGTCATGGATCAGGGGTCCAGTCTCCCCTCATCCTCGGGGTCCACCTGAGGCGTGAGGGAGACCTGCGGCCTCTGTGAAGAGCCTGGGGCGCGGGCGGCAGTGAGAGCTACTAGAGGAGGGCACGAGGGCTCGGCTCATGCTTCCCCCGCACGGCCTCTGTCAGAGAGAATCCGCATTAAGCACTCCTCTCCCTTTACAGCTTCAGGGCTGGGTGGCACCTCTGTTAGGAATGGCAACGCCTTCCCGGCTCATGAGGGAGAGGAAGCCCAGGTAAGTAATTTTTTCCACTTGTGTTCCAGTGATCATTTTCTATTGAAATTATCTCTGGAAATACCATTTTCCTTTTGAAAAATCCTTTCCTACCCTTCCCTATGGATTTGGTATTCCGAGATAAGGATGCCCTGTGATCACTGTGACGTGTGACAACAGTGTTTTGTCCCCAAGTCCTCCTGTGCAGCCTGGGCTGCAGGCAGACACCAGGGCTGATGGAGAGCATGGCACTTGGCTGCCG